AGGAGATTAAAGCCGTCATAAACTACATGGGTAGAGTCGTTGCTCGTGATATTAAAGTTCTGCGCTTTACTGGCTGATATTTTTTCCAAGTATTCAGCAAAGGGTGGCTTCGCCGTCTTAGATATTTTTCCGTTTAAGCGACAAAACACATATAAAAACGGGCTTAGAGGGTATCTTATGGCAAGTATAATATCGACATCGTTTTTGACATGGCTAGCAAAGTGCTCCATACATCATGTTGTACGATTTCATTTTTCACGTTTGAGCCTATTTCACATATTTTTATTACTTTTTCAGTCACAAACATTTTACTTTAACGAATTTTCGCGATTTTTCAAACCAATTTGCATCTTTAGAACACTGAACAATGGTTGATAATAAGTTTATCGTATCTGGATTCGTACCTTTACCTATTTAAATATCGAATGAAACATTTTTATCAAGAAATGGACAAAATGGATTAATATTTTTTAGTATTTCAGATCTGAGGCTTTCAATCATCTTACTGTTGACGAGTGAGGTTCCGCTTTGAAGCTCAGCTGTGACATCCTGCATTTTTTTTTGAAGTCCACCGACAGAATCGGTAGAATTGGAAACACTAACGATACTGACCGCGTCAGCATTTTATTCTCCTGTGACGAAATCTGTTGGTTATCCTGAAAATTTTTTGTTTGTGCACCTTACACTAGATGATTCCTTTTCAAAATATGTCTCCCTCAAACCGGGATAACTTTCATCACTATTGAAAAAGTTATTGTGGAAAGCGGTCAATCATAGTGCGTAATTGAATAAGTTTAACGAGAAAAAAATATCATTAATATAAAGTAGTATATGTAGGTACAAAGTGTAATCATCAGTACAAATGCTTCTTGACAACATAAAGTTATAATTTATCAGTTTTAAAAATATAGCATAGTAGCGGGCAGGCACACAAAACTCCTTGATACACGCTTTCCTCAAATTTAGCCAAATCGTTTGAAAGACCGAGAATATCTTCATTTTAGATAATACATGTAACCTTTTTTTCTTTTAGCACTCCAAATTTGAGTAAATACTCCTTTTTAATATTTAAAATATTTTCAAATAAGTATCGATTGATTAACAGTGATGGGAGTACAAGCACGCATATAGTAAAAAAGCCTTTTGCATCGGTTAAAATGTTTGCCAGCGATGAAGCCGTTAACAGATCCACTTGCTATCAACTGAGCGTTTATTACGAAGTCCATTAGTCCGCAGTTTTCAATATACTTTCCGATAGCATTAAAATAAGCTATCATAATATTAAATGCCCCACAGTGGATAAGAACTTTATTAAGATAAGGAATTTTGAGAACTTTTATAAATATAGCTAAGTTAACTGTCACCTTAATGTTTTCTTTTCTAGTTTCATTTATGATATGTCAACAATTTTGAAGGGCCACCTTGATAACTTCATTGTTTATTGGTGATTTATTTATCAACATCAAAAACTTAACCCTGTTTTTAGGAAATTCATTTCGATAAATGCGATTATTATAGCCAACCCCCATCGGTGTATTATCTTCGTCAAAGTAGTACGAAAATGCAAAAGTAGGATCAAATATTTTAGAATTTTCAAACACGCGTACTGAACTTTCGAGTTCAGTTTCAAAAACTTCTGCTGGCAAAAGCTTTAAGTTGTACTTCAACTGCCTATCTGTGAATTTGGTAGTGGCACAATCTTCGAAATCTTGTTCAGCTTCGTGATAAGATGTTTTAGGGATTGCACAAGCTTCAGGATGAACTTCATGAAAACCTGCCCTAGAAGAGTGTAACTCGTCATCGAAACTCTTTTTACGGCTGCTACAACCTAATAACTTGACTTGATGAATATTTTTGCCAGATCCTCCTCCACTCTTTTTGTAGCTAGTACTAGCTTCTAATTAAACTTCATGAAGCTTCTCCTCAGCAGCTTTTAATGTATGGCCAATGTATCTTTCGGATTCAGACAGTGCCTGCTTTGTTGTTTGATTCAACAATTCCCCTACGGTCAAAGTCGTCTTCTGGAAGAATGGTTTGCACAATGTAACCTACAGTATCGTGTACTGTATCTTTCCCCAGTCAGGCCTTGCTTTCAAATTTTAAGTCATTATTGTCGGTTAAAATCCTGGCTAAACTTCATGGACATTTGCCAACTTCAATACCTGTTGGAAGAAAAGGGGACTTTGACAAAGATGTGTAAGCTACTACCGTCTCCAATTCTTCTAAAACTGAATATGACAGAATATTCCCGAATTCATTTAACACATTATTTATTGTCTACTACTAGTATACGAAAACAAATTCATCGACGGTGTCCTGTTTTTAGTTTCACCAGAGGTGCTGGGGTCAGTTTGTTATCGATTTTTACTATTATTGCTTGAAGTGCTGGGGCTGATTTGTTCCTCGTTTTTGAGTTTTTTTTCAAACCCCTTCAAATATTTATTTCCAAGAGAGTGAACATTCTTACAAAATTCTGAGTGATAACATAAGCCATCTTGAAACTTCTTTGGCAATATTATCTAACCATACGCTAACTCTGATGTTGATCGTATATGAACGGCTTAATTTATTTTATTTAAAAAACGATACTAGAGCATCGCCGTTGTTTCGTTACATCCTCGAAACACACTAAATACTTTTTGTCCTTAAGAGAGTTAATTGCATTAAGTGATCAGTAAGACACAAGATACATAAATAATTGTACAAGATTGACACATGGATACTGACAGTTTTATTATTATACATACCTTATGATTTCATACCAAAATTTTCGAAATTTTTAATCCAAAAAGAGCTGGAATCTTTGCGAATATATTTGAAATTCAACGAGCAACTACATTGAAGTACTCATAATTGGAACTAACTGAACTCACCTGTTGAAAGCTGTGCTCCATATGATGCATGCTTCAGTTCATGAGGCTAATAGGTAAAATTTGTGTTCCAACCAGCTCAGCTACAATGCCAAAACTCTGGTCTCTGACCACTATACAAGTAGGTACAGCTACTGACTGTAGGGGGTCACTAGTAATTCACAAATATATAGCAATTCACACCAAGTTAACTTAAATAGAATTCTTTAATTAGTTTCTGTTATTAGGCATTTCATTTTATAGCTGCGACAAATAACTAGACACTATGCTAATCCAGAATAGTATTCTGTAACTCGCACTATCAAGTTTCAGAGTAAGAGCTATACCGTAGAGATTAGACACTCATAAAATATACCACAGGAGTCCCATGACACTTTAATATTTAACCACGCATAGAGCTGTACAAGAACGTCCTTCTATACAACATACTACAGATGAGCTCGTGGGGCTCATTCTTGTGCACGGTATCTCAAACGCAGGCGTTGTAGTGTGGTGCACGCAGGTGCTCATGTATACTACAAACCGTTCACTGTGCACAAGCATGGGTCCATCTTTAAGAGTCGTGGCCACTATTTCCAGACCATAATTTTTTCCGTGTTGGATACTAAATACCCAATTACCTAATTTTTAAGGCAATTAGTACATTTTTTTAGATCAAGTCTTACATTCATTCTCAGTCCACGTTTAATACTCAAAATATGAGTATCTTAAAGGTTAACAAAAACTATCCTGTAGTACTACTTTCTTCAATAGGGTAGTATTACATGCCAGTGAAAGTCCCCTCACGACGTTCATCACACATAAGTTAATTTGACAGATATCATTTAAACATTGAATGTGTATTTGAAATAGCATAAAAAATATCTCAAAAAACTGTAGATCGTTAAGCTATACCCTTCTTCACATGTTGAATTTCAAAAATTGGCAATTTAACATGTAACCTTACGGAAAAGTCGCTTTCACCCTTATTATTTTTATTTCCATATTCATCCCAAAAATTTACCAAACAATATTCTGGAACATACATATTTTGTTAAGTTATTTCACTTTGTGGTTCCAATGGTAGTTCCTTTGCTGTTTTCATCTAGATGTATAAGTTGGAGGACTAATACAAATAAAAATTACAATTACAAATAAAATAAAGCTCTATAATCATTTATACAGATTGTGTTTCATGAAAAACATTTTGATTCTTTATTGTATACATTATGACAGAACGTAATCGTGTGAATTATTTTTGTTGTATTAAATATTATTGAGGTTGACTAGATCATAATATAAACAGTGCTACAAATATTTCCAAAAATTATGAGAAAAACGAGAAATTAAAAAAATATTTTTGTGTAATCAATAACTTATATTGCAACTTGGATGCAATGGCAGTTTTAGAAACTGTGGTTAACCCGATTTATTTGTAACTGTGACATATACGCAATATTTTTCTTAAATTATTTCATACAGAATAATAACTCGTTTTGGACATCATTAAAAAAGAGTATAGTTAGAAAAATTTCATCTTACGTTCATACGACTAAATTTCAAAAGAAGGGGTTACTACTACTCACTCATATTTTAATAAATATGCATTCTAATTTACTAGCTATAATTAAAGTTTAAAACCATTAAAAGATTTTTATTTACTATTACCCAATTTACTTAAAAGAATTAAAGTAACAGTCCTACTTCTTTACTAAACTTCGGTAAGTTGGCTAAGTCAATTAACTACAGGTAATGTGTTCAATTTATGGTAAAGATTTTTACTTTTACTTTTACATCACAAATAATACTTGAGGATACTCGAATAATCATTACTTGTTTTTAAGTGATACATAGAAGATTTTTGGCATGTATAGAAAATTTAAGTAAAAGAAAATAATTAATAAAAATTTTAAACCTTTGATACAATCTAAACAGGAATATTCATACACATTCTTATTTAAAAAAAAATAAATTTAAGTGTACCAATACTGAATTAGATGTTTCAATTATTCTTTAAACTAATTATGAATACAGCAGTACAAAAAATATTAAGTATTAGTTTTATAATGCTATAATATTGTAGAGTGTTTTAAGTAAACTTTCGTTATTACTAAATAAAATTTTATAATTATTACAATAAATTTAACACACCTGCTGGACGAGTGCTGGGAGTGTAAGCTTCCAGAAGTTTGCGATGTTATTTGATTACGTATGTTTGTTGAATGAAATGTTACTCCAGTTAAATTGCGAGGACTTTGAGCTCTTTCTAGTGTCGTTTGAAACGTTCCTCCATTACATGAATCTAAAGCTAAAAAATTAAACAAATTTTAGTAATATATTCGAAAGTAATTATAAAAAAAAAGTTTTTTATGTTTTCACTAAACCAAAGAGATTTTTTACCCTTTTTATGTGTTGAAGATATAATTTATGACCCTGAAAGAAATTGTTATCAGCGTTTTTTGAGATTTCATGAGCATTTTGCAGTGTTCTGCTATGACTAATTTAATAACAGCTTCTTGTAAAGAGGAAGTCCAATTTAATAAAAATCTCTCTCCAACAAAAGCAAAAGCTTCGGAAAGTTGAATGAGTGAGACTTATACGTATACATGTTTTCTCATAAAAAAAGCAAAAACTAAAATAGTGATACTAAAAGTGTTAGTAACAATTTGATATTAAATAAATTTCATGTGATTATTTCATACGATGCGGCCAGTATTATATTTTTGCAAAAATTTAATGTAATGTACTAAATTTTTCGAACGTCATCTATGAACGGATTTTTAAAATTTAGAGCTTTGTCTCTCTCAATGGGACACCAGAAAAGATATACAAATGGAAATTTTACCTGAAAATCGTCAATACGCAAAAGGTTTTTAAATCTGTACTAAATTTTCCAAAAAATAATTTTAACATTTCTTTTACCCCCGTAAATGAAGGCTAAAGTAGCGTGTGCTTTAACCATAGTATAATAAGTACAAGTTTGCAAAGGCTTCAATTTACGAACCAAGAGGTTTACGGCACGAGCCGAAGACGAGGGCTGTAACAAAGTTCGTAAAGAAGCCTTTTCGAACGAGTTTCATATACTATTTTTCCGCCTGAGCACCCAAAATCAAGCGGCGAAGGTGCTATTTTGATGTTAGAAGGCGGAAAAATATCATACTTATTTAAAACTCACAATAATTTGTCTAACAAACGTACTAATAAAATAATTTTGAAAAATCCTCCCAACTTTATAAACTTTTTTTTGCTATACTAAATAACCTCAACAGTAATAGCTTCACTTCTAAAATATACCACTGCAATAGTTTATCGCTTACTGACACGAGTGTGACTGAATTTTACGGTTTACCAAAGATTTATGAAGTCCATACATCTTTGAATCTACTTGTCTATCTCATCCATAGTTCTACACATTTACTCGCAAAAAGAATCCATCAGCAACTTTTAACATTTGTTGATAGTCCAAAATTAAATGTTGAGTATTGCTTTTAACAAAGAAATAATTTTTTTTAATATTTAACGACGCAAAGACCACCAAAATATTTATATCGATACAAACTTATTTTTCACGAATGTACTAATAGATCTTGTTAAATACTTATTCCCAAAACTCCAGAGACTTGTAAAAAGATGGAGATTGGTAACAATTAAAAAGATAAAGACTGTATCGCTGCAAGAGCTCAAGACTATATCAAAAAGAGCTTACGAGAAGTGCTTCGAGAATTGGAAAAAATGTTGGCACAAAATAGATTTTTTTCAGTACAGTAGAGCCCCTGAATCATAATATAATAAGATTTTAACTTATAGCTTTTTTTTTTTAAAGATATTTAACCAATTACTTTATTTTCTGCAGTTTCACAAAAGTTTTTATATAATGCTGTATCGAAACAAAAGGTAGGTATTAATGAAGCACCAACAGTTAATCTTTTTTTTTCGTGGAATATGACAAAAGTATAAGTAAAAAAATATCTACGTTTAAGACCGATTAACAAAATAATTTTTACTTTCTGCACTATGTTGCAAGGATACAAAAAATTTTATGTTATTATATAACCTTCAGAAAAAGCATTCTTCTTAACATTGATGTATACAGAGGATGACTTGAAATAACTATTTCTAACTATGTATTGAATTAAAATGTTTTGTAATAATTTTTTGTTTTATTAAGTTTAGGTATTTCACAATATAGATAACAACTTAAACAAAAAAATAAACAGGTAGTGCTCTAGACTAGAAGAAGTAGACTGTATAAATTTGTGTGAATTCCAGATTGAGAGGAGAAAAATATTGATGAACAAATGACATATAAAATATAAACTTTCAACATAACAGTTCACACTATTAGCAAATAAATCAAAAGACATTAAGGCATTAAATATACGAATTTATGATAACATGGGAAATAAATGTACGTAGAGAATATGTGCATGACAAAGCGGGATTTCAGTGTTAATATTATTATGACAAATAGGATAGAAAAGTGTTATAAGAATAATGTATGATAGCATATGTATGGACAGTAACACAGCATTTTAAGGCCTATGGGGCATAGTTCTCAGAAATGACTGTAATATATACATATATCTTCCTACATCACGTAGTTTTAAGAGGGGGGCTTTCCACACTACTCCCCCGCGTCCCCCGCAGCCGCGCCACCACCCTGCCACAACATCCCCACATCCCCACAAAATAAGGGAAAATTCGATTACTGTCGATAATATTTTAACCTAACAAAATAATAGCCGAAGAACCATTAAGCCCCTCCTAGCATTCCGCAGGCAACCACACAATTTTCGAAGCCCCACGTGACCCCCCGCAGCCACCCCTAGCCCCTACAAAATAAGGGAAAATTCCGTTAATTTCATTGTTATTTTGACCCATTATTAATGTCCCTTATTTTCTTGTAAGCCCCACCGCACTCCCCGCAGCCCATCCCCACCCATTTTTAAGTGCTCCTCCCTGTCGCCCCTCCACCGACCACCCACGGCCGCCTCACTGTTAGTTGGTAATCCAGCCTCTCTTGAAATATGAGGGATGACTTTACAGATTAATAGTAGCTCAGTCTATAGTACATCGATAGGCTGTTGTATAGACAAACTGTACTTAAGCTGAAACTAGATGTAACCAGCAATTGAAAGCGGTAGCTCCTACAGCTTAAGGTAAACGAGCTCTTAGCTATATATAGTTATCTTTTTTTTACACACCACCCAGGAGGCAAATAGTCGATTTTATACTTAGTAACAAGTACAAAAAACATCCAATATAGTTATTACTTTATATATATTATAAGTGTAAAATCTGAGGGGCATTGATTTTTTTTGTACTTCTTTCGTAAATAGAGTTTTGAATCAATACGATCAATACGTGTAATCGTATGATATAATACGATCACAAATTAATACTGAAACTCAAGTGATAAAAAAATAATAAAAACTGTGGTAGATAGCGCCAGTTGCCTTATAAAACCACAAAGCGACAGAGCTCCCCGATGTTTGATTTAAGTGAAAAAAAAAACCATTAATTAATATAGTAATCAAATAATAGTTTATTTATACTTCGTTGCACTTACTACTAGCTTTTTTTTAAAAAACCCGTCTGTCTTAAACCTACTACTTTTTATGCACACAAATTAAAAAATAACTGTATAATACGGAAAAATAATTATTTAATACTTAACTTTAATTTTTATAAGATAAGATNCGAAGTAGTCACAAAAATAAACCAATTTTTCTAAAGTAGTTCAAAAGAAGGATCTTATTTGGCAAAATGTTACAAATAGTTATCCTGAATAAAAACTTAAACTTCAATGATTTCTAACAAATCGTAACATAATGAAACATAAACATATCGTGTCATTTGCTACTACTAAATAATGTTGATTGAATTTATGTGATAACCTTCAATTCGTCGGTTTTTTTCGAAAAGTGTCTCTTTATCGGAAATTTCTTCCCAAACAACATTTTCTAAATCCTGATTTTTTTTACGTTCAATTTGCATAAATATCCGATCTTGAGTTTTGCATCTTGATAACGATACGTATAGTTGTGTATGAAAAAATACAGGTTTTTTAAGTATATACTGGCTTTATCGAAACTTTTCCTTGAGGTTTGTCCATTGTCATAAAGAATGCGAACACTAAAGGAAATTGCTTTCTGTAAAGTATGAAAAGTAACGACGAGGTATTTACCTGTATTTAAAGTGATTTTCGATATAAATTCCCTATTTCCAAGTTTTTCTCCTGTGATAATTTAAGCTTCAATATTATACTTAAATAATTTTTTTATTTCTATTTGTGAGTCGTTGTAAAAATCGTCTGCTATACAAATTTCTTTTCAAAGTAACTATTGCTCTAACATTCAAATTTAGTTAATGCGGTGGCAAACCTTTACAAATGTTTGTTAAATATCTCAATAGGGAAATTTATGTTAATGTTATCATCCGATTTATCGACACCTTTGTACGTGGCATGATCCATGCTATAATGAGTTGTCGTATTTACTTTCATTAGATTTAATCATGAGAAGTCAGAATAATACTATTTAATAAAGATTGGTAATTTTTACTAAATATTTAAACATACATTAATGACCTTCCATTTTTCGGAAATGATCAGTGATTTTAGTTTTCTGTCTTCAATTTCTAAAAGTCATTTAGAAAAACTTTTATCAACCGAACGAATGTTTGTATTTAATTTTAAAATATAAAAAAAACTTCAAAGATATGATCACTTAATAGTGTCTGATATAACTATACTTCTATAACCATTGATATAACAAAAAGTGTTAGACGGAAATCTCCTCCCAAAATTATTAATTAACTTTCAAAATGTACGTGTGTATTGCATACATCACGTTAAGTTCTGTCTACTTTCTCTCAATCTCTTTTCAGAATCATAGAAGCCTCATCTCAAATTATCAAATCGATTTCACGTAATTCTTTTTTTTAGATTTGATTTAAAAAAATGCAGGCTCAACATTATTGAAATCCAAAGGTAAGCGAAAACTTTTATGACTGGTTATACCTTCCGGTAGTAGTACTGACGCAATTCCAGCTCATGCCATTGACAAAATTTTTTTTTCTTTGTGATTTGAAGTAATGAATTTATGTTTAACATAAAAAAGTTTTTCTTGATCCTTCAGGGCCGTGTATAAAATGAATCTTCCCAACGTTCTTACATACAATTCAAAAAACTTTTTTTTGTTCATTGTTTAGCTGAGCATACATCGAATCGAACGTATTTTCACAGAATGCAACTTCCTCTGCGTTATCATTGTTTTGTAAGTCAATTTTAAACGGTACAGGTGAATCGAATGATTCACATGAATAATTTTCAAGTTCAAAAATTTCGTTGATGTGCAGAAAAGCATAATTTTCTTTATTACGAATGAAATCTTCACAAAAATAGTTTTTATGCTTATTTTAAATTTCATCTCCTTGTGTACTCTCTGATAATAAGAACCTTGCCAAAAATTATCTTAATTGATAGGAAAGCATGCAAGTACCAGCTTCTTGAAAAATATTGTCAATCTGTGAATCATACTTAATTAAACCCATGGCCATCGTAGTATCTTTAAATGTTTCATATTTTACATCTTTATATGTATGTGTTTGACATTTTTGTTATTATCTTTCCAATTTTGCTTTTTTAGAAAATTAATTTTTGTTCAGTCTCGAGGTGCACAGCAAGATTTACAACCTTATGACTCCTACCACAAATTGCATATTCTTGTAACCTCCATGCTGCTCTTATGGGACTGAAATATCTACCGTTAACATAGTTTTTTATTTTATCTAGAATTTCATCATCAGAATAACTTCAATAAAAGCTCTATCACTACCGTTATAAATGTAGTCGTTTACGTATTTTATGCTTTGAATAGATGCACAATATTCAACCTTCATGTGGCATTTATATTTCGTTAACAAAATTTTATCATACGCTACAACCATTGTCAACTCTGATTTCATGTTTATTTTTAGTCTTTTTCTGTACGTGATTATCAAAAATATTATTTTTCTGATATGCTCAGGATAACCATTTTTTAAGGATGGTGTATCAGCAAATGATTTAGAAAAATTTTTGAAACATTTGTTATTGAATGAGNCTTGTTACAAAATTATGTCAGTTTTTAGAAAATCAAAAGTATTAATTGAACAATAAGAAGTCGTGTGTGTGTATGTGTTTGTAATTAACAATATAGTGCGTTATAATAAACCTCAGTGGGAAGACCACTGTCCCACGTATATTTATAACTATAATCGGTGTACAATTTCTGATCCCGTCCTACGCAGCAGGCAGACCTCGATATGCTCAGGATAACCATTTTTTAAGGATGGTGTATCAGCAAATGATTTAGAAAAATTTTTGAAACATTTGTTATTGAATGTACTAAAACATGGGCTTTTTTAAGTACCAGAACCGTGAAGTAGGTTTTTAATAACCAATTTGGCAAGTTTCTTATTATTTGAAAGTATTTTAGCTGATATAATTTTATTAATGTATTCAGGTAAAATTATTTCATTGTTAGGTTGTAGTATTACAAGAAGATGTGCATGTGGTGAACTACGTTTTTCAAATTCTATAGTATAAACATAGGTTTTTTAAAAAGGATATATTCAGCTCCCAACATTCGCGTATCGCATAACACACAACGTTTTTGAACTTAACTATGATCGGGTAATGGAGAATCAGCGCAGTAAGTGCGCAGGAGAGTGAAAAAAGTATAGTTGTATGATTTTAACTAAGCTCACCCTAAGTGTGTTTTATTTTTTTTACCAGTTTAATTTAACCGAATTAAAATAGGGTGATTAACCTCTAAAAAAACCTTCTAAAAAAACAACAAGTCAACAACCTACCTTATTCTATAAACAAAAAGATCCCATGGATCAAACTAATAATTTAATTTTCACCATATAAACACAATAGTGCATTGTTAATTTGGCTTTATAACGGCTTTAAAGAAAAGCATGAAAAATCTTTGCCAGTTGCCTTATAAAACCACAAAGCGACAGAGCTCCCCGATGTTTGATTTAAGTGAAAAAAAAAACCATTAATTAATATAGTAATCAAATAATAGTTTATTTATACTTCGTTGCAGTTATTTGATTACGTATGTTTGTTGAATGAAATGTTACTCCAGTTAAATTGCGAGGACTTTGAGCTCTTTCTAGTGTCGTTTGAAACGTTCCTCCATTACATGAATCTAAAGCTAAAAAATTAAACAAATTTTAGTAATATATTCGAAAGTAATTATAAAAAAAAAGTTTTTTATGTTTTCACTAAACCAAAGAGATTTTTTACCCTTTTTATGTGTTGAAGATATAATTTATGACCCTGAAAGAAATTGTTTGTAAGCTACTACCGTCTCCANAGAAATGAAGAAGATAAAACAAAAGAAGCATAAAAAAAGCATTTAAAAACGTAGAGAACTAAATATACATGAAGATGGTAACGGAGAAGAAACTTAAGTGTATGACAAGATAGAAATAAAAATACAAAATAAAAAAAAAATGAAGCAGAGCATTTGATAAGAGGCGAATAAGGTTTGAAGGAGACATCTAACAATAAATAATGAAGAGAAATGAAGATATTTGTTGAATATGTTTCACTCATAGATATCCTAGCTTTGGTTGTGGAGATAAGTCTTTTATTGTAATTTGGTTAGTGGATGAGAATCTCTAATAAATTCTTAACCGAAACAAGGATCATGCTGAAGTTATTTGGAATAAACCTATGACTGTATGTTTTTACTGTTATTGTAATTCATTTATAAATATGTTTAAGTTATGACTTTCATGAAATACAAAGCTAGAAGCTGAGAACTTGAAATTGCTAGTCTTAAAAATAATATAGCAACACTAAATAGAAAAAAAATTAAGCGTGAGGAGTCTCGGAACCCCTGATCGAAGCGGAGCTGCCTTATTTATGTGGCAACAAAACGTTATCCGAAATTAATTACACTGATAATTTCTGCAGATACACACATACATATACATGCCAAAGTATACGTATGCTAAAGTATACACACACACTCAGACATACATATTTCTAGCACAAATATACAACAGTTTAGTGTTAAATATGTAAGTAGATATTTTTTGCTAAGAAAAAACTAAATAAAAATAATAAAATTTTAAAAATGTACAGCTGATAGGAGAAACACAGAGAGAAATCTGTATAGAAGACGTTCAGTAAGATACATATTTCTATTATGACCACAAATTTCATCATACTCGCTTCTTCAACTTTTTTTCTTAATTGTGAGCTTTAATAAAAGAAATTTTGGTTTCTACAGGTGCGCTATACATTTACAATTATTATTCTTTTTTTTAATATGGTACTTAATTGTAGAATTACTTTGTTTATAGAAATATTATAAGACCAAAATGTACATAATTATGAAACATTGTACCTATTGTTTTAGAACTATGTTCATATTTACGAAAATTTTTTTAAATATGAATTTAGTATAGTATTTTTAGACAGTTGAAGTTTTTTTCACTCATATGACACTATTGTATACAACAGAAATCGTAAAAACGTTTATTCAATCATTATTTTTTTTAAGTATGGTTTGTAAGTGTGGAATTACTTTGTTTATAAAAACATTATACGACCAAAATGTTCACAATTATAAAACACTGTACCTATTGTTTTAGAATTATGTTCATATTTACGAAAATTTTTCAAAATATGAATTCAGTGTAATATTTCGAGACAGTTAAAGTTTTTTTTACTTGTATGACACTATTTTGTACAACAAAAATAATTTTAACGTTTATTTCTTCAGTAAAGTTGTATAAATTACTCGTTGAAGCTTAGTACCATAATATCTACAGTTCTAAAGATAGGTTATGTTCAACTTCGTTACTATTTATGGAATAATTCTTAAAATTGGTCATTCATCGTATGTATCATAAAACTTTTCTTGCGAACCCATTAAGATAAACGAAATATACAACTATCATAGTTTTTCATCAAATATATTGCACAATAAAACCATAAATTTTTATGTTCCATAAATAGGGAAACGTTCCACGAATAGGAAAATATAAATACGATATAGTAGTATAGCTGAGCCAAGCTCTGTCTACTCCCACGCCGTCGAACAGACGCTATACGGCGATACATACCATTATACAGGTACTATGGATACATTTACACGTGATTGCCCGTGCATGCACGCGTTTGAAGACGCATCAGGATATTTTGATTCAATAATTCTGCGACAGATTTGTCTCCGTGTAGTTATAGACTTGTTACCAGTAAGATTAAACAATAAAGCTGCAGTAGCTATTGCTGCATGCATATGTATACACGTATGCACGGGTCGGCTCAGTTATGAATATAAGTGTATTATATATATAATATAGAGGCCAGATCGGCGAACTGTTCGCAAGCCAGCAGCACTGTACTGTAAATGTATAAGTACAATTTACAGCAGTTGGAGCTCAGAGAGAGAGACCACGTGACCTTGTTACAAAATTATGTCAGTTTTTAGAAAATCAAAAGTATTAATTGAACAATAAGAAGTCGTGTGTGTGTATGTGTTTGTAATTAACAATATAGTGCGTTATAATAAACCTCAGTGGGAAGACCACTGTCCCACGTATATTTATAACTATAATCGGTGTACAATTTCTGATCCCGTCCTACGCAGCAGGCAGACCTCGCGAGCTTATACATAAACCTTGCACAATTAATGAGGAGCGGACTTACTTTATTTCCCGACGGCTACAGAGTGTGAAGTCAAAGTCAAAATGTGCATCCTGAAAATGTGAGAACTAGTGGGCGACCCCACCAGCCAAGTATCCTTTCAGATTCGGTTAGTAGCGCTGACCCGGGTGACTCAATACCCAATACCGGCAACGCTTCTCCTCACTGTTTAGACTTCTGGTGACACGTTCATCTAGGCCCCTACCCTCTTCGCGCCTTTCACCGATTCCCAACTCTCTTCGCACGTCCAGCTCGCTCGCAATCTCCAGCTGGTCTTTCTAACTCATCGCTCTCTTTTCGCTCCACCACGTTCCCTCTCTTTTCTACCAAAACTCCCACGAACCCCAAACGGCGGCGCCGTTACAACATTGATCTAGGATGTTTCAGAACTAAAGAAAACAATATTATAAAAATTATAATAAGTGGATTTAATGCATAAGCATTAAGAAGACAAAATGGAATTAGGAAAGCAAGGCGTTAAAAAAAGTATTGATTGTAATTATGTACATCAGTTAGTTTTAGAATGACATAAGAATGAAAGAAATTGAGAGAGCTGTGAAGTAAAGTCCTTAAATAATTGGTGCTAATTACCAGTTTCCAAAAGAATAAAAAAAAACAAGGCGAGATTAAAAGTTAAAAGGACACAAAAATGTAAGACGAAGTACGACGCAATAATACTAAATGAGTATCAGATTACAATTAAACGAAGCAGACATTTTGTGTAGTAATTAAAACAATACACAAATGATGAATATTTTTAACAAAAAAGTTGTAGAAAATAGACAAAAACTTTAATATCATCAAATCTCACGTAAAGAAACACAAAATCTAAGTTTCTGGGGTGAGAAACAAAAATAAAAAACCAGATGTGTGTGTCGGGATTCCCAGCAGAAATAAAACTTCCAACTAGTGAATTATTAAACTCGGTATTTTGAAAATCGTAAATTGTTAGGTATACTTTTTATAAATTTCATCATTTAAACAGTAGGTATTTTAAAAAAAGCCTGACAAGTAAATCACTTTCATTTATTTAATTTATTTTATATGTGGTAACGCTATCATAATTACAATTGTTAGGGGCTGATGGCGCAAAACTTAAATTTTAAATGTAAAGACACCGCGGTCCATCCGTAGAGTCGTATTTTTTTTATACTTATTACACACAATTGAATTTCTAAAGATAAAAGCTATGCTTTTTTTATGTTAACTTAACAAAGATTGAGAATGAAATTTTCGTAAAGACGACAAAGATAAATAAGAATTAGAAAATAGTGAGAATCTTTATAAAAGTCAACATAAAGTAACAAATTTTGAGCAAGTATTATAATAAAAATATTTTGTATATATGTGTTTCATATAGTTTTATAAAGAAAAATACATGTACCATTAAAGAAAAAAAAAAAAAAAAA